GGATAAATTGTGTTTTGAAGGGCACTTTTCCTTCTTTGATAAATTCAAGATGGTCACTGTGATAAAAAAAATATTCTTTCTTTGTTTTGTTATCTAGGAATGTGACCCATTTAGCCTCCTGTTTTTTTTTTTTAAATTTTTTTTTTTTTAACACAGGTTCTTTGAATATTATGGGAGATAGCATATGTTGAAATACATTTTTAATACTCAAAATCCTATGTTGCCCACCAAAATTTTCAATTACCTGACATTTTCTGTTCAGTTGCTCATTGCTCAACCAACAAACGAAATTGTCCAGGATGGGAAATCCTGTTCTAAAGTCTAATTCAACTCTATACTTCTAATGTCTGCCTAAACTGAAATTTTATTTACTATTTTTTTTCTCAATAGGAGAGGTTCGCCTATCGTCCAGTTCATACCCTTCCCCAATCTTTTGAACAGGAGTAGAAGTTTATCCATTGTTTCCTTTTAGAATTAAGTTTCTGGTTCCTTCTAAAATCTTTTCATTCTCTTTCCTTCCTTGTAGCATCTTAGTACGATTATCACCTTGCTTGGAGTGAATTGATTTAAAAGAAAAAACAAGACATTCATATATTTATTTTGCAGCAGAGAATATCCCTTATGAAATGCAAGAATACTTAAATCACATAAAGATACATTTTAAAATTCTGATTTTTCAACCATAAATATATTATGAACTAAGGTAACCCATTTTGCATAATTTTAGATATGTGATCTTGAATTGTAGATCATATAATTTCATGTATCATTTGTTGAAGTGATTTCTACTAAATCTAAAAGGGGTATGTTAACAAAATCCGGCTAATTTTGCTCTTCAGAAATCCATTGGCTGTAAGTTTCAAAATCAGCATTCAAATAGGCATTTTATTGTTGAATGCGTAATTCTAAATTTTCAGTATAGTCCAGTTTAAAATTTGGGCAAATACGCACTAGATAGAAGCTGTATTTGTGTAAAACCTATCAACCTGCTTCTTCAAAGGTCAGTTTTTCAAAACTACATACAATCATAATGCAGCAAAAACTCTGTGCATTTATGTTCTTACCTTTAAAATAAAATCACATACTCTCTCTTTGAAAAACAACCTGGTTTTGTTTTTTGCGGGGGGGATTTTTTCCAGGATTTCTTCATTCATATTTTGAAAATCACCAGGAATCCTTATTAAAAAGATAAAATATTCTTGGACAAAATATCAAGCTTCAGTTTCTTTTGAGGCCAAAATTAAAATTACTACTGAAATATTCATTGGTCACAAATATTCATTTTTAATTTTATTAGTAGTTAAAATTTTCAAAAATTGTTCAAATCAATTTCAGCTATCTTTCACAGTTGGTAATCTTGTGCGAATTTCAAACTAAACTTTATATACAGTCCATAAAGTTAAGTTTCCTCATTCCATTGTTCAAGATAGATGCATTGAAATACCACATTTCAGAACATATACTGGGTGTAACAGCAAAATTGCCCATTTGTTAGATTAAGCTTTGAATTGTATCTTAGAAATGATTAAAGATATCTTACTGGAATTTTACAAGGTTTTTTATAACATTATTGGACTCTACTTTGAGCAATAAGAATGTATAATTACTCTCCAAGCTTAACAGAAGAATTGTGATGAAATTGATCATAAATGAAAATGACCTGTTCATCATTAATTAATCATAACTAAGGATTGGAAGCTTATGAAGGACTGAAAGTTCAAATATATATTATTCCAGGATCATTTCCCTACTTATTCAAAATGATCTTTGCCCTCTCTAACCTTTTAACTTTCTGTCCTGGAGTAACAAGGTGCCTCACAGGTTTCATGTAAAATTTCATTTTCAAGTTTTTTCTTTTTCACTGCTCTTTCAAACTTCTTGAGTTAGATTTTTTCTAATTGATCTTTTTAACTCTAAGTTGAAATGATGATCCCTCTTCCTTTTGTGACCTCCTGATTCAGTTATCCTCTCCACTGTTCCCACTTTTTTAAACTTATTCACTGTTCTCTTGATGATTCTTCAATGGACTTTGAAGATGGAAGCCAGAGTATGAATGTTGATATTTTTCCTGTCCCCATTGTTCAGTTGGGAAGACAGTGAGGCTGAGACAAAATAATTTTAACCTGTTCTTTTTTTAGCTGAATAACTCAAAGGGTTTTTCAATGATTTTTATAACAAAAGTTGTCAAGATGGCTAAATGTCTTATCTGAAAACCTGGAAAAAAGAAACTCAGTTAGTTTAGTGGTTTTTTAGTTATTAAACATTTTGTAGAATGGAAAGTTTTGCTGTTGTGCCCAGCATATATACAGGGTGTATGAAAAATATATACAGCATATATACAGGGTGTATGAAAAATAACTTTACAAAGTTTAGGGGTGGGTTGCTCACACCAAAACAAGGACAAAAATTCAATGTGAATATATGACTACAAATTTTTTGTTTTTGAGTTATTAAGTTTAAAGAAAATTTATGGCAGATGGCACTGTGTTGACATATAAACAAGGTTACATTTGTTATTTGTGTACATTTCTGCCTAGTCTGTCTTCAACATTTAATGTGTAGTAGAGAAGTGTTCCATTTAACAAAGGCAGGATATTCATATTGTGAGCAGGCAGATATGATTTTTACTTACAGCTGCACAAGTGTTAATGAACGTGAGGCTGCACAATTGTATGAGATCGTGTTTCCAGACCAAAGGCAGACAAGTTATCCAAATTTTGCTGCTGTTTATCATCATGCTGCTGAGACAGGATTTGTAGTACCACAAACTATGGATTGCAGAAGACTGAAATCTGCTTGTATGCCTGACCATGAAGAACACATTCTATTGGCTGTCAGAGATGACCCTGGTTATCAGCAAACATCAAGTGGCTCTAGCCATATCGTATATCTCATAGCACTACATGGTAGGTATGTCAAGAGAAGCACCTGCATCTGTATAATTTGCAATGTGCAGGGTCTTTCACCCTCTGATCATTCACCATCGGAGAACTTTTGCTGATGCTTTATTGCACAAACTGACACTCTGTTGTTTGTCTCTTCAGTCTTGTTTATGGATGAGGCAACATTTGGAAAAGATGAAATAAATTTACACAACCAGCATTTGTGGTCAAATCGGAATACCTATGGTACAATACAGACTAGACACCAGCATCAGTTTACAATTAATGTATGGGTTGGAATTGTAGGTGACTGATGGTCCATACGTTCTCCCAGCACATCTTACAGGAGCTGTCTACAGGGACTTTATTTTGAACAGACTTTCAGACATGCTAGAGGATGTACTCTTGCTAATATGATGGGGATCCAGCACATCTTAATCACATTGTTTGCAATGCACAGGCTGACATATACCATGAAAGATGATAGTTAGGGAAGGACCAGTTTCATGGCCTGCACATTCCCTTAATCTCAGTCCTTTGGATCTTTATCTGTGGGGCCACTGATAACAATTGATTTATGCAGAGACACTTCATCAACGTGTCATGGGGACCTGTGAAACCATTCAACCCATGTGGGAGTATTTGAGAGGGTCTGCCAGTCAATGATTTAATGGGTGAATGCATGTATAGAAGCAAGCGGAGGACGTTTGAATATTTGTTATAAGATATTGTGTTGAAGTACAATGATAGCTTTTTGGACATATGGTTACATGAACATTTTACCTTGTTTTGGTATGAGAAACCTGCCTCAAAGTTTGTAAAAGTATTTTGGGATTGTACATTTAACAGCTTCTACTGTAAATGTTTAAACTTAATAACTCAAAAATGAAAGATTTGCAGAAATATGTTTATGTGAACATTTGTCCTTGTTTTGATGTGAGGACACAGCTTCCAAAGTTTGTAAAAGTATTTTTGATACACTCCGTATATGTCACAAATTTCAGTAACATGTGAAAGAAAATCACATGGTTGAACACCTATTGAAAATGCTACAAACTTTGTTCCAACTTTATATTATTAAAAATAGCTAACAACATACTTCTGTTATATTTTTCTGGTATACAAACAAGCATTTTTTTGGACTTACTTTAAAGATTGTCAAGACAGCTGACTTTACATCTCTCAGGCCAGTTCTCCATATGTGCATATTTAAACTGATACGTAATATTCTTGTTGAAAACATGTATGTGATCTGCACCTCTGACTGCAAAAAGTATCTAAAAATAGAAACCCTTTATTACAAAAAAAAAAAAAAGAACCTTTAACAACATCAACTATGAGCACAAGCAAAATATACTGGCCATATTTGGGAATTAAGAATATGTCTGCCTTTCAGCAATCTTTACATTGTTGGCAATGACAAATATATATATATATATATATATATATATATATATAAATTTGATAAGCAGTGAGTCAGCAATTTTGTTTAATTTTCTACATGAAACTGCTACCATATCTGGGCTGCTTAGTTCTCACTTCCCTTTCTTGATAGAGTCCAAAAGTGTCTATGTGGCCTTGTGGGTGATGAATTATTTTCCACCCTAAAACCCCTTTTCCTACAGACGAAAATTCGCAAGCCTCTCATTATTTCTGTGACAAGTATTCTGTTGAGCTACATTCCTTGGTTTCACCAGCCCTGATCTTTCCAGCTCGGACCTGTCATGCCACATACACAAGGATGTATCATCCTTGTTCCTGCATATTCCATTAGTAAGAAGTAAGTTCCACTCAGACAGCTTCTCCCCAAGAACAGCTGCTTTGAGGAATGTTTTCCTTGATCACTGCAACACTTTCAAGTCTAGGTTTTTGCTTGAGTGATTTCTTTTTTTATGGCTTATCAACATTTTGTAGGATATTTAAAGCCAGAAAATTTTGTTTTGTTTAGAATGCAGAATACAAGTCCTACTAATTAACCCATAATTGGGGGGAGAAGTGGTGGATTCATACCTTTCCCAAGGGTATTTGCACATAAGTGAATATAACAAACTGAACAGTAACTGGAAATTGGTTCTCTGATTATCATTTCCAAGCCATTATCCACCTGCACATCCAAACTTACAGCACCTGGTATTCTCAAGTGGTCACCTACCTAGGTACGCTCCAGGCTCAATGTTGCTTAACTTCGGTGATCATACAGGAAGCAGTATTTCAATGTGATGTGGCTGTAGACCTAAGCTTTGTTCTACTTTTGATAACATAACACTATATATGTGGAATGTCCTGGCAAGACTAAATTTACATGGGTTTTTTCTTTTCAGGGATGATTTCTATCATGCAGTATTTTCTGTAGTCCAGCTGTGGCCTGGTCCTAAGGGTGCTGGATTAAAGAGGTTGAACTGAATCTGAGTTGCCAGCATCACTATTTTTTTTTATTTTTATTTGTTTTTGACCATTAATAAGTAAGATTTAGGAAGTGTTTATTTCTGGGGTAGGCTGCAGGTAAGTAAAAAAAATTGATAAGGAGTGGCAACCACAGGAATCATCAGATATATTAGAGTAAATCATAAATAATTTCCCATTTTGTTTATCATCTTTATTCTTCAAAAAATAAACTACAACTATCTTTTATTCAATTGTATATTCACCATTATTTTCAGTGACTTGTGGCCATTTATCAGGCAGCTCTTCAAAACTTCTCAGTAAAATACTGCAGGTTTTGATGAGAGAGTTTTCAACAAACTCTTGAATCTGGTTTTTATTAGTGAAAGTTTTCCTCATCAAAGCGTTTTTCACTGATGAAAAAAGGTAAACATCGGTCGGTGAAAAGTCAGTGAATATGGAATGTGAAGTAAAACAGATCAACTGAATGCCAAAAATTTTTTGCTGTGTTATTTGTGGTGCATGTGGCCTTTCATTTTCATGTAGAATAATAACAGTTTTCCTTTTCAGGAGCACAGAATGCTTTTTAACCAAACTTTTATGGACACATCTCTCTATATTTCTGAGATGAGGTATTGTAACTATTTACATTTTTTGAACTGTTGTCTTCATCTTTATTGTCATATTCACAACATTTTGACTGTTGTATGCTTTGGCCTTCTTCAGGTGATATGCATTGGAATTTCAAACCGAACCCTTTATTTAGTCTATGAGACTAAATGGCTCAGTGGTTGGTTGAAGTATTCCAGTGACATGACCAAAAGAATTATGAATTCAATGACTGGCCACAGCAGAAGTGAACAAAAAGTTAGAGAGTTGAGTTACTAAAGGGAATGAACTGAAACTGAGATATCCAGAAAAGGCATGGCATGTAGAACTAGAACAATCTAACCCTGTGGACTGGATAAAACGTTTGGTTTGAAATTTCAGTGTATATCACCTGGAGAAGGCTGGAGCATACAACAGCTGAAATGTCATGAATATGACAATAAAGATGAGTCTAACAATGTAAATAGTGTTTCATGGACACATTGCAGCTGCTGGATCTATAAAAGTGTGCTTAGCTTTTCATTGTGTTTTAAGAACTCTAAATGAATAATACTCCAATAATCCCACCACACACACACACACACACACACACAACATTGTCAGTTGTGGAGATTTATCCTTGTCAATCTCCCTGCCTTTTGTTGTAGGTTAATGTTCTCCAAATTCATTCTTAACTGCCACATATGATTAGAAGTTAGGATGATACAATCATCATTACAACACAGTGAGATTGCAGACAGGCATTTGGCATTTTTGAAACATTTCGTAAGTGATATGTCTGGACTATAGAATCTGAAAGAGCCTCTGTGCTCAGGATTTGAGAACTGGTCTTTTGTCTTAACTCCAAGTATTTGTTATTTGAATTAATCAAAACTCACATATTTAATCATTTACTTCTAGATGATCAGTTTTGGATAGTATCTGTCTATATTTCTGAGATGAGGTATTATGTATACTATTTACATTATTCGGACTATTGTCCTCATCTTTGTCGCCATATTTCTCATGTTTCGGTCATTGTATGCTCCGGCCTTCTTCAGGTGATTCGAATGTCGAACTGAACTCTTTATTTCACTCAAGGACATATGGCACAGTGGATAAAGGCATTAGTTAGATCAAGTGACAGGACCCAAAGAGTGTGAGTTCAATACCTGGTTAAGGCAGTGGAAACCTTGGAGAGGGGAATTAACAGGAGATAACTGACATCCATTAGACACGGCACGTGAGACTAGAACAGTCTACCCCAGTGAGTGAAATAAAGGGTTCAGTTTGACATTCCAACCACCTGAAGGTCAGAGAGTACAATGGCTGAAACATTGTAATAAATATGTCGACAAAGATGGGGACAATATTTCAAATAAAGTAAATAGTACAGTTCTGGATAGTTGGATTTTCTCCTTTTTTTTTTTTTAAGACAGGAAATTCATTGGAATCTTGTTGAAATTAATATTATAAGTGACAAACAGGTTTAACTTGACACTATGTTTTCAAAAATAACTTACATCAAGTCTATATGGGAGCCCTACAACACAAACTTCAGTCAATATGGTTTTTTGCCATATTTTGTCTCTGACACCACAACTTTGGACAAAAATAAGACAAAATCATTTCTCCTTTTTAGTGCAAGTTCTCAAATATTAAAACAATTGAAATGGAAGAAAATTGTTCTTAAGAAGATACTTAAAGTATACACAGTTTCTTTCATATGTAAAATTGATAATTACCCACTTTTGGTACTATACACCAGTCCCAAACATCAGTTTTCAACATAACTTGTATTTATCAAAAAATAATGATCTAGATCTTTATTCCTATGTATTTCAAGGTGCTGAATCTATTTGTGGAAAATATGAAAATCTCCCCAAAAGAAATATAGATTGAATAAAAGAAAAATTTAAGCTCTTTTCAGAAATGTCATCTCTTTACTGTAGACCAGCATTTCTAGTCTTAAACTCTTATTTTTTAATTAGAAATGAGAAATTTTTGTTTATTCTTTCTCGTAAATACAAATAATCTTAATATGGTTCCATGACTGAGCTGAAAATGATTTGGGGGGGGGTCTCAAAAACTACAAATGTCTACTTGGCTCTAATATGCCAGCTCACTTTATAAAATTGGTTCTCAAAAACAGAAATTACTTAGGACTCAACCCAATATATAAATTAATTGCAAAATAAACAGAAGTTGAGTGTAGCATTTATTTAAAATCTACAGCAATAAATGAATCACAATGGCCCAAAAGGTAGCTTGATGTTCCACAAAATCTGAATCATTACAAAAATGATGACTCCAGGAAAGAAAAATCTTTACAGAAAAAGTTTGAGTTTTCATCTCATTAAAATATTGTCCAAATTTACTAAAGTGGAAAAATAATTACTCTCAAAAATGCATTTGCATGAACCATTGCAGTAAAGATGCTGGTCTCCATGCTGTATTCAAAATATGTATTCTTTTCCGTTTATTCTCACAGATGCTTTTTAAGAGCAGTTTCCACTTTGACACATTCACTGAGCAAAAATGTGGTTGTTCTTTCGAACTGGTTCTCATGGTAGCTTCCAAATTGTAAAACCATGTTTTAAGCTATATTTGTCCTTTATTGTGTGCTTGAACGTGTCGTTTCAGATTGGATCTCTGTGAATATGCAGATCCACACACCTGACAAGAATATGGTTTTTCCCCAGTGTGGATCCGGATGTGTCTATTCAAAACTGAACTTTGTGAAAATGTTGATCCACACACTTCACAAGAATATGGTTTCTCTCCAGTGTGTGTTCGTATATGTCTATTTAAAGCTGAACTCTGTGAATATGAACAGCCACATATTCTACAAGAATATGGTTTCTCCCCAGTGTGTATTCGCATATGCATCTTTAAAGTTGTTTGACTTGAAAATGCATACGAACAAATTTCACAAGAATACGGTTTCTCTCCGGTATGTTTTCTCATATGTCGTTGCAAATTTGCCTTCTGTGAAAATGCCGATTTACATATTTCACAAGAATAAGGTTTCTCTCCAGTATGTGTTCGGATGTGCATTTCCAAAGCACTTCCCTCTGAACTTGTATACCCACAAACATCACAAAAATATGATTTCCTACCAATATGCATTTCAAAATTCTGCTTTCAAGAACTTTAAAATCATATACTTGGCAAGAAATGGTTTTGCCTCACTGTGAGTTGAAATGTATTTTTTCAAAATTGAATATTTTGAAACTTTCTATCCATATGCTTGGTAAAAATTATTGTTGGTCTCCAGTATTCAAATGGATATTTTCTAAATTAAACTTTGATTAAATTCAAGTTCATACGTTTAAAAAAAATGTTTTCTTTGGTATACTTTCTTGTATGAAGTACTTAAAAAAAAAAACTTTCTTGTGGTTTCCCATGCCAGTCAGTCTGTGAATGCAAAGAAAATATTATTAGCAGTTAAAACAGACATATTAAAAGAACGTTCATAACAAAAAGTATAAATTACTATAAATTGGTAATAATGAAATATAACCATTAAAAAAAAAGTTAAACCAGTTTATTAGTCCTTTCTCATAAAGGCAAAAAACAGAGGACAAAAAGAAAACGTGCACAGTGACTAAAAATGTACTGCCCAAGATTAATGTTATATAGAAACAACAAATATAACATTAAAGGCTAATTACCTATAAGATGACTAACCACTCTTTCTGTTTACAGAGATGGCTGGTAGGACTTAATATATACTGATTCCAAAACCTTGATAAGTGATAATCGTTATTAGCCTTACTCAGCACTGAGAACATGTCTGGGCTATAAGACTGAGCACACTGCTGGTTTTTAATCAGATGTTCAACTAGCACTGAACCTGATACAGTAACACGCCTATCAAAGTTGTGCAGTGTGCACCTAACTGAGTCCTGATCTCATAACTACCATTCGCTGCCAGTTTCATTAAAATTTATTAATTCAATATCAATTTTCATTAAGTTACTAGTATAGTACAAATAAGAAATATTTATAATTGTTTTGTTGTTTATTTTGTTTTGTTTGTTTAATGGCATATCAACTCCTTATGGATCATTTAATGCCAAAATTTAATTTTCTTTGGCACTTTGAAGTAATAAAAATGTGATATATATTATTCTGCTTTCACAGTTGAGTACACGGTAGATGATACTCAGCTTTTGTGCATATACATGTTTGTGTGGACATAATTACTATAGGGGTGATATGTATGTTTTATGTTGTAGCTTTGTTAATGTTATAT